TACATTACATAAAACGATTAAAGGCTATCCTACCGCTTGAAAGAATTATCATAATATTGCAGTATTTTTCGAGCCATCGGCCTTTTTACCGAGCGACGTCCTTTATATAGAAAATATGTCTTGTTTATGTACAATATGCAATCCTTAATACTTCAGTTTTGAAAAAGGATCCCCGATATATGTACCTCCGGACAAGTTAATACGCTGTACAGTCATATCCAAGGAGTATTTTCATCTTTCTCTCCCTTTCTATGTTTCTCTCTGTTCCTCCCTCTCGTTCTCTCATCTCATAATCTTCATAAAAACAAAAACCATAGGATGGGGCGACTACTGCTGTGTGCGATTTTATCATTTTTATCAGTGGACCATGGAACGTTTCTGAAATTCGAACTTCTCGCAAAACGACCCAACAGCTTTTCGCATCGGGCCTCGCACTTCATCTGTATAATTCTGCCGAGTATTAAGGACGAAAAATGCTTAAATTCTAATTTTTCATAACATATCGATTTCATTAATTTTTTAGTAATGCAAACACGTTTTTTTTTTAAATTATATAACATATACGTATATATTATATATATATAGTTTACGTTATGCTGAAAACCAATACAAAAGTTATTATCTTTTGCCAATTCTTAGAAAAATACTACAGAAATATTATTCTATATTTTGACGTTACTTAAAAATTGAACGTACAAACTGTCCTAAATTTCTGAATGAGTCATTTCAGATTTAAGAGAATAATATAATAAAGTGACTCTACGTTTTCCTTTATCATACTTATCGTATAATTTAGTCTGAGAGATTTAGAGATTCGGTGGGAAGCAAACCATATTTCCATCGCGCATTTATCGAATCTTATTTAAATAACTTCGTAATTCCTTTATCGTACAGTAAACACAAATAGGCGATTGCGCTTGGATTTTCAAGCTTTGGATTTCCGAGATACGAGGCAAAAACCCGTCATCTGCAAGTGCAATATGATGAAAAAAGTTGCGAAGTCGCTTCGCAAAACAAAACCTTATTTACAGAGTATCTTTTTCTTCCGCGAGCGAAATACGGCAGATTGTTTCGTCGCTGCTTTGTTACACGACAACCTCTCCCATTAGTCGCGATTGCAATTTGTGCATCGATCTCTTGTCCACAATATATACGCGAATGCCAGTCGAATGGATTTTATGTAAAAAGTCCCAAAGAGCATCCTTATATAAAAAAAACTAAGCTTGATTCTTTCTAGAGGGAAGTACGATGCCATTTCAATAAAAATAATTTACAGCATATTGCTGTTCCTATAACTAACAACAAAAACAAAGGAGAGAGAGAGAAGTGAGGATCATCCAGATACCTCTAATACGAAATAATTAATCTCGTAGATTAATCAGAATGGTACACGGTTCTTTTTACATAAAAACTCTTCGAAACGATCTCCGAGAAACATTTCTTCTCGAGATCGCGAAAGGCCATGTCCTTTCGCAGTAGATTTCGTTTTTGAAGGACATCCGGACATTTCTCAATGCGTGCATTCAGTACTACGGATCGCTCATTGTCAGTAAGCAAGAAAGGAATTAATATGTTTATTTGTTATAATATTCGTAATGTAGAATATTGATTAATTATAATAATGATAATTCTTCTTTAATATTATTATTTCTTGCTTATTATTGTTGATTATTTCTGTAAGGCCACGAGAGTGCTAGTGCGGTCTAAAAAATTAATAAACAGTAATAAGAAAGTAATAGAACAGTAATATTAAAGATTATCTACTCTACTATAATAGATAAGTTATTTCTACGAATATTACAACAAATAAACATACTATTTCTTTTCTTTCTCACTAAGAGAGAGCTCAATGAACAGTCCCTAGTATTGAATGCGCCCAATAACATCCCCTACAGCACAAAGTTGCATAAAAGTTGCAGCAACACAGCATGTTGCAGAGATTTTGCAGCGATATTGCTGTATGGGATGCGACGCGTATGTATAGCGGTGTACCGTCTAAGACATGTTCCCCTCACATCATTTTTTCTATCGTTCGTTATATACATACAAAGGAGCGCGTCTTTTTTTTTTTTTTCGCGTTCGCTACGACGATCGTTCTCCGTGATCAGTTTCGCGTTCTTACATTCACACACTCGCCCTCGGTTCTCCCCTCACAATCTGATCGCTCAAATTATTTCGACTGATTTGTGCTAGACGACATTGCATAGCTTAATGAATGTACATTTTGCGGTATACGGCCGTTTGCTCGTCCTCCGAGTCTCTCTCATCCTTTTTTTCTCCCGCCCTTTGCTCGCTCGCAAATTCATCTCCCCTTCGCTCTTTTCTTTCCTTTTACTTTTTACGTCGCTCGTTTTAATGATACTAAAGTGACGTACAACAGCATTCGCACACTCTCTCGATTCTCTTTCTCCCTTTTGCATCTCCTTTCACTCCTTCACTCGCTCTTCTTCTTTCTCTCTCTCTCTTTCGAATACTGGTAGGGTGTTGAGTGACAAAAACAGTAGTCTTAACAAACATACGATACAAAAACTCTTAAGTTATCGCCTGACGGCCAGTGTAAAGCGGGTTGTTTTATTTTATCATTACTTTTTTTCCCCCTTCTTCTCTCTCCCTTTCTTCTTCCCTCCTTTCCTACCTCTTTAAGTACCTGAAGAAGCTAGCTTTGGGAAATCTCGCCTTGATCCGCAAACGCTAAGGCCTGAAACCGAAGTGGAATCTCGGTGAATTCTGATCCTCGATCTGTCCTTACCGATGACGATCATGGAAACCGACAATTCGCGTACACCTTTGAGCATCGGAAATCGAGCTCGCCGAAATTACACCGACTCCGATCGTCGCCCTCAAACGCACTCCCCTTATCTCTTTCTCTCTTTCCTGCTCCTTCCCTTAAGTCCACGCCTCGGATTTGCCTTAACGATGAAGACTACGCACCCCTCTATGATAAATGCGATTGGTACGACTAAATTGGGTGGCGAAAGGCCCGACTATCACCGATGAATCGAGTAGTACACGCGCATCCGAGTAGTACACGTGCATGAGCTAGAAAGCTATCTCCCAATGACTCTTGTCCCCTTTCAAAAAATACGCATCTCTATTTGATGCGAGACACTCGCTCGGAATTTTATACACGCGGAGACATGTCGCTCTGACATCTCTTCGTATTTTCCTCCCTTCACATCCTATTCTTTTCTTACTCTCTCTCTAATATACAGGAAGATAGAGCTCGTTTTCTTACTTTTATCGCGGGAATAAATATATTGAACTTGTCCTCACTTTATACAAGTGGCTCGAGTAGAAACGCGATTCTCTCTTTCTTTGGGATACGCTTCTCTCGCGCGGAAATGAAGAAACACCGAGAGAGCCGCGAAAGAAAAATCCTGAAAATCGTCGTGAATGTAAAACGAAAGAAACGATCTATAAAAAAAAGGCGCTCCTTTTTATAAATCAATTAATTTGATCTATAAATAAAGCTTTCAGATTTACTTTCTTTCAATTAAAAAGTAAATTCTCTCGCATTTCTGCAGATCGCCTCGATTACATAAAATTTGACTTCAATACGAAAAAATAAATACTTTAATACGGAAAAAAAAAATACGATCGGTCTCGTAAATAAAAGTGTAATCTTTTTCCCTTCGTAATAAAATTAAGTTAAAGAAAAAAAAACTCTTCAGAAGAAAAGTATGTGTGTGATCTAGGCCACGCTATATATAATAAAATTGAATTAATGTAAATATCGTAATAGATTTCCGCCTTTTAATCATTCCTACAGTCAAAAGAGTGGCGAGTTAACATAAATATTACTTAAAACATAAATTTATTTACATATATTTCCTCACTGTTACAGAATATTTTTTCCCATAACTAAATCCCAACATATATTTTTAGCGATTTAAATTGTATTTAAAATAAAATAATTTGAATTGAAGGTGACTGCAAATACGAAAAAAAGGAAAAAAAAAGAACAAGCATCGGCGTACTTCTTCTCGGAAAACGCGATTCACGTTTTCATGCCGCGAGATCATAAAATTTTCTACTATGTAAGAAACACGAACGCGTACGGTACAATTACATACATGGATATTCGAATTTCTACACTCCAGAGCTATGGTAATCGAGATAAACTAGGAAGAGATGAAGCGCACGAGGTAGGTATCTTGTTCGTCCTTTAACTGAATAAGGAAATCGAAGGAACGTATTTCGCGAATATAGTTATATTTATAACGAGAAATGATTATATTCACATAATTCTCGTAGAGATAAAGATATCAATCATTTCATTTGCTAGCATCTCTATTATGTGTAGAATATGTAAATCAGAAAAAAAAACAGAAAAATTAACACTATCCGTCTTATTTAAACTTTTCATATATAACATGATTCACATCAAAATTAACTAGAAAGATTGCAGCGCTCTTTAATTGTTTCGACGCAATTCTGTTAAAAAATATTTTTGTATTTTATATATAAATAAAAAACTTTTTCATAATTTTTTAATATTTGCGAAATTAAAAATTATACTAAATTTAGAAAATAGAAAAGTTTCCTCGATCTCTCTGTTTAGTTAACAATCATCATAAATAATCACTGTATTAGAGAAAGAGAGTATAATAATATATTATTATATCCAACAAATATTACATTCTTAATTCTTTTCTAAACATAATATTAACAATTATTGAAACAAATATATAATTAAATTATCATTCTACGGAAATAAAAAAGAGAAAACAAAAAAGGTCTACAGAATGTGTGGTTAGATTAATTTAATTATATACAATTTACATATTCTACACATGTATTGCTGCTCGCTTTCCACATTGATTCATTACGCGTTTCCCTCAACGCCTTCTCGACAGAGCCTTCACTTTGGTTCATATCACCTAATGAGACACTATTCACAGGAACAGTTACACCTCGGTTACTTGAAGCTACGATATTCTTTTTCTTGCAACATCGAAAGAGAACAGAAAAAGAGAGAAAGAACAAACTCGACAAAGATCTCTACATATTTATACATATATATCGCGCGCTGGGATAAAAATTTTTGGAATGGATATCAGCGCCCGACGTACATTTTCATTAATTATAATTATCAATAACGAAATGTTAGATAAACTTATACTCCCAGCCTATTCCGTTCTTACGAGCTTTTACAAGTTACAAGTTTTTAGAGTAAGTCCATAGTAAAATTTGCAGGCATTCACACGTTTCACGGTAGCACACGGAGATACGATATAAATAAATCTATCATTCTCATCTGAAACAAAGTGAAGCGTTTTTGTACTAAAGTGCAGCGATATATATATAATATTATACCTTTTTAATGAATTATCTACGCAATGTACAATCGTGGATTTTTACATGCACCATGACAAGGTATGGTCGGGCCGTACAACAGACAGCTGTTAGAATGATCCGTAGAATATATTATTGCCACTCTACATCTTTTTTCTTTCTGTTTTCTAACCCCCATTTCATACGCCTCGCGCGCTTGAATCGGGCGTTATCGTCTTTATCCAAATAACTCCGCGTTTTTCGTGGGTCGTCTAAGAGCAGAGTGCCGAGAATTTACAGCGGCAATTTTCTCTCTATATAAAGTTAGAATTATACAGATATAGGTAAGCATTACACGAAAGGCAAAGACGGATGCGGCTCCCAAGAAAACCGCATGTCCTTGTTACTAAATCCTAATATTTTTTTCGGAAAGAGAACTCTTTTTTATTATTTGTCTATTCAGTCTGACCACACCATGTTACAACGTGGAATAGCTTTGCCATGATAGACATACTGTAAATTGAATTATATAAATTCAGGCTCTCTCTCTTTATTCTGCGAGGGATCTATTAATGATCGTTATGGTTTTGCTTGCTCTTTTTACCTTAACGCTTTGTTCACTCTTCGCCTATTCCTTGCCACAAAAACGACTTGACTAGATTGCATCGCTAAAACGGTCCTTAACGATTTAAAATCTAAGTCTGTCATACATAAATGATCTGTACCTTACAATCTAATATCGTAATTAACACCTAATGGTAGAGGGATCTACTGTTATCGACGAGAACTATTTAGTAGTAAATCGTATGTCTATTATACTTCCGTCCTTTTTCTCCCTCTCTTTCTCTCTTCTTTCACGCATTCATTCATACATACATTAATATGCATACAGCACACATATCGACGTGAAGTAGATCCATTGTTAATTTAAACTCATGGAGAATATTTCTTTTGCTCGCACTTAAGCCTGCTTGCCTTCTGCAGATATTAGTGCAGCTGCCGAATGTTCCAAATATTATAGGTGTGATAGATTCACGGAACTTGCGTCTAAGCGCGTTTTTGATAATATTTACAATGCCATCGCTACAGATTTTTTCCGCGAATAAAATTGTTCGCTGTCTGAATCATGTTTTTTTTTTAGCGAAAAGTGTCAAATTCCCGGCCCGGTTTCGATCGCGCTAAAACGCCCGCATCATCGTCGCATCGTAAACCACCGACGACGACGACGACATGCTAATGATATAACAACACGTTGCGATGCTCGCGCGAGCGTTCGATCGCTAGGACTACCTCTTCTTGCCGGGCTGCTTCGATGGCAACCGCTTCTTCAGTTTGTGATCCGTCGATTTGATCGTTGTTGCCGTCGTCTTCTTTTTCGGTCGTTCCGGCGAACCGTTGCAGCACGCGCAATTCTTCTTTACGTGACAACGCAAACTGGATCTTCTGGCGCGGCAATCTGTCGGTTCCATCATCACAATATTACTCGCTTCGTCCTCCGATGCCTCCGATGCCTTGTCACTTGATATTACCATTGACTCTGTCATCGCTATCGATTCAACCTTGGGAATTCGTTTGGGAAGCGCCGTCGCTGCTGCTGTCGTCGATTTATGATCGGCGCGATTCAAGATCACTCTTGCAGCATTCACCTGCAGTTTGTCCTTTTTCTTTATGTAGGTGCAATGCCGATCAGACGACAAGGGTTTTAACGTTTGTACACTATCCTCCAGGCCATTGCTCAACGTGATGTTATCTTCCAATTGGCTACTGATAGACTCGCTGATGCTGGAGTCCTCATCGTCGCTGCTGGATCTTGTGCGCTCGGACATTGGGCTCTCCCATGCCATGTAGTCCATACGCATCTTAGACGATGATACGCGCTTTTTGTTGGCATATGTGTACTTATTGTGCGTGGAGAGCAGCGGCCCGGCCGCAACCAACGGTGACAATGGCGACGGTATGGTATGATGGTCCGCAGTATTACTGCTCAAAAGAGTCAAACTTTCGTCGCCCGAACTTACTGCCGAAGTGTTGTTAACGTTAACGCTTGGTGGCAACGATTCCGAATCTAAGTCGATGTCCAGTTTCATGTTAGATGGTATACTGGACACACTGCTGGGTGTTCCTTCTTTCGAGCCAATCCTCGAGGTCAGTTTCACACGATGAGTCATATCTTTTGACGAATCGTTTTCCAAAGAGCCAAGATTTGCGGGTGATAGTCTGGAAATATCCGAATTGCTGTTCGATGCTTCATCTTGACTTAGATTGTCCAAGGTCAATCGCATATGTTTCGCCGAAATGTCCAAGTGCAGATCCTCCTTCTCTCGCTTTCCTCTCTTTGATGAATTTAAGGCTCTCGCGCGTTGACTCACATTCCTTTTGCGTTCATTCATCTTGAAATCGTTTGTTGGACTGGCGTCCCTACTGCCACTAGATGAGTCCAGAGACCGAAAGTATGAGCTGTTGTACGGTTTCATGCCCAGAGGCTGACTGCAGGACGCATCCTGCGAGGAATGATCGAACGACGGAGAATGATTCGTGTCGAATAACAGATCTGCTTCGGGAAACAGCTCACTAGTGCTAGGTTCGTCAACTCCTAAATCTTCGCACTCCTCCGATAAGCTCTTTTGTACCTTGAGTTCGTATGGAGTCTTTCTCTCTATCCTCTGCTGCATTAGTTCGCGATCCAATCTAGGATTCAGCTGCGATTTTAAATTCTTGCTGGAATATGAAGTATCTAAAGTGTGATTCATGAAGTACTTTTTCACGCTCGATGGATAGATCTGTCCGGCTGCCATTTCGATGCCCTGGCCCTTGTTGATAATCTGCAGTACGCTCTCGGAGTTGTCGTCTCTGAAATTGATCATGGCCAGTCGAATTTTCTTTCTTAAAAATTTTAAATTTCAAAAGGGGTTTGACTTTAGATAATATTTCAATTAGATGAAGATAAATTTTTACAATATACTCGATATAAATCAAATTATTACCTGGAATATGTTTTCAACGGCTCATTGTTTAGTACACTCATCGGTGTAGGAACATATCTCCATGGTGTATCCGGCGATATCTTTCCTTCCGATTCCCATGCCTCTTGTAAACGTGTTTCATACAGCAGCCCATTCCCAACTTTACAGGATCCATCGATTGTCTCGGTAGATTGCTGTACAGATGACTCTTGACTGTCTGAACTGCTCGGTCCACCGGTTACCAGAAACTGTGTTGTGCTATCGATAACGCTCGATTGCTTGTTTAAGGAAGTAATACAAGACATAGAATCTATAAAAACAATATACGAGAAGAATTAATTGTACATACATAACGTCTGATGTCGAGAATATATTACATTACATGCTATATAAGCTGTGTGTGTGTGTGTGTGTGTGTGTGTGTGTGTGTGTGTGTGTGTGTGTTGTGGTGTGTGTGTTCTAATACAAAATATATTGCTCACACAATATTGTTTTTGTCAAAGATTCATTTTTCTATAAATTATAATATAATATAGTTACGCAATCTATAATTAATTCGAAAAAAAAACAACCTCTCTATAGTTATCTTAAAAAAATATTATTAAAATAAAAATTTGTTCATTTGTATATCAATATTTTTTAAATTTGAACAAAAAGGTAATAAAATGAATTATTATATAGTATAACATTTTATGCATCATGTTATTAAAAAAATGCAAAAACAACTAATAAAAATTTAAAAATAAAAAAAAATATTAAAAATAAAAATCTAACTTTTTTAATGACTAGAGAAACATATGTGCAGAAAATATATCTTAAACTCATGATAGTTAACTCTATTTTTATACTCCAACTATTTAATCAATCATAATAATCAAAATAATTTTGAACATTAAAAACAATAGTTGGGAATTATTCCATTGCATATTACATCAAACAGCAATTAATGTGTTAACGTATCACATAAAAATGTGCTAATGTGGCAATTCATACAAAAAATAAAATAGTATTTCCACTATATATCAGACAAGTCCTTACCAATTTTCGTATTATTCTGTAACGATGTGGCAATGCTCGTAGAGATCAAAGTTCTCGACGATATGTTTTCTTGTATACCGATAGTGTTGTCGAATTTTCTCTTTAACATTTTTGGTGAAATAATTTTGGTACCGGATGTTATCTCGGTAGACGCTTCCTTCGTGTCCTTCTGCTGTTGCTGATTCACATCGTTTAGCATGGCGTTCATATGCTCAGTCTGCTGAGTAAAGGCAAGCGTAATGGCATCCGTCTGAAGAGATACCGGTTTCTCGGTGTGTATCCCATCCTGAGATTTCTTTTCCGGCGAATGAGAAACCGTAGCAGCTGGCGCAATGCAGACCACGTTTTCCGCTTTCAGGTTAGATGATAATTTATGTATGTTCGAGTTGAAGAATCTCGTACTCTGCAGCGTCGGATTGCTGGTGATGACGCCGCATATTTGTTGATTGTCTGATATTTCGTTGATATTCCGAGTACCGATCAGACTGAGAGTGGGATTGTTTTTATTCACCACAATGGCGTTTGTCGGTGTTGATTCGACCGTCATCGCGTTAGCAGCGACATCATTCTTCAATGTCAGATCGTTGATCACGCTCGGTTTATCCGACGTAGACACAGTCACAGTACCTACCTCTCCAGTAAACTGTGTACTTCCGGTCTGCGATATTACCACGGGTGTGCTCTGAACATTCTGCGCGCCAGTTAGTGTCTGATTGTTGTTCGATAACGTCTGCAGAGTAGGTTGCATCTTCATCTGTTTGACAGTTTGCGGTTGTTGAACATGAAGTTTGTTCTGATTGAGGATGGACTGTAACAGTAGAGTGTTGGGAACTGTAGTACCACTGGCCGTGCGTACAGTCGGCATAGTCAATAATTTAGAACCGGATACTATAGTAAGTTGATGCTGGGTGCCCTTCATCAACGGTAACACGAAACTGGTAGGCATCAGTAACTGCTTGCCCGTAACTGAGGCGATCGCCTCACTAACACTCACCGAGCCGGACTGCAACGTTTCTTGAACAATTAACGCACGCGGTTGGCCCGAGCCTGGCTCCGTAAAGATGAGATTACGCCGCTTCACGTTTAATTCGATGTCGTCATTCGTCAAATTGCGAACTTCTACGTTCGCTTCCGCGCTTGATGGCTCCTCTGGTGCAGAAAAACCAGCTGGACTGTCCTGTACATGTACAATACCACTAGACGAATCCTCGCTACCCATAGTTCTACCAAGATCGTCTGTAGTTGGGCTCAGTTCAGAAGTCTGCTGTCCCGCCGGCTTAGCTTTGCTGGAACTTGATTTCTTTCTCTTTGACGATTGATTCGGATTAGTCGGCGGATTGGATCTTCTACGAGGCGCCGGTTTGTTGTTGAGATCCGGCGAGTTTCTCAGTTGTTCAGCGTACTCATCGAGAATCGCATAGATCCTTTGGGCAGTCTGCTCGTCTTCCTGCGGTTTCTGTTGTGGTTTCGGTATAGGTGATGCCTTAGATGTATTGGTGGCGCTACTCTTCACTACTTTGGGTGTTGATTTTTTCACATTGGTTTTGACGCTGGTGGTCCCAGCTGCGGTGGACGGCGACGTCGATGGTGTTTTTCCGGCCGGTATCGGCGCTGGCGCCGGTGTCACGCATGGACTCGAGGAACTCTGAGATGTGACGCTCAGTGCCGGCGACGCCGCTGGACAATAACTGGTGACCACGACAACCGGTGTGGAATTGGTCGCTACTTTGGCGGTACCGCTGTTCGGATTCACATAAGTCAAAGAGATCGCCTTCTGCGAGTATACAGATTCCTGTTGAAATGCCACATTATTGCCGTTGCTGGCAAATGGCTCGCTATTCGCGCTGGATTGCGTCGGCATCATCAGTTGTTGCGCCAAAGTACTAACGGATATCTGTTGCCGTTTGCTTGCCTGAGTCTGTTGCGTGGTAGTCTGCGTCTGCACAGCTGTTGTAGTCGCGCTATTAGAGATCGACTGATGAGACTGCTGCGGTTGAATACTTCTCTCCTTTACTTGCTCCAGCACACTCTCGAACTCCCGTAACTGTTCCAGAGTTGTCGAGCTCACTTGATTTACCTCAATCGGAGAACCGATTAGACTGTCTGTTCTCACAGCTTGCTGTTGCTGTTGTTGCTGTTGTTGCAATCTCGGTGTCAAGACAGCCTGTATAGTTCCTGTGAGATTTGGTTGTCTGACTGGAGCACCACGGTGGATGATGTTAACCTTTACTACGGGAGGTCTGCCACTCGGTACCGAATTGGCGTGCGATATGATCGCTGGTGGGAGGATGTTAAGTTGATTCGGATTATTGCTGGTTATCACTTTGTGTGCGTATATAACACCGGTATTCGACGAGGTGGCATTCTGTACAAGTTGTGTGAGCGTTTGATTTGTGGCCTGATTCGAACCGATGGAGGCGTTCGCTGGACCATTATTACCGGAATTCGGTACAATATTAACGATCGATCTGCCGGATGGCAGTTGCAGATTCGGAATGATCGATTGTACGTTGACGTTTCCAGCGTTCGCTTGCTGTTGTTGTTGTTGAGGTTGATTATTTGGCACAGATGTCTGTACCGCTTTTGACAGATTCGTCGTTGTCTTCTGCGGAGATGTCGTCGTCGTTTGTTGAACGCCGCTAAGCGATGTATCTGTCGCAGCATTGGCAACTCCACTTGCAGTCGCATCGGCTGACAGACTGTACATAGGAGTTTTACGGAAGGCCTGTTGGAACTTGGGCAGACCGGCATTCTGGCCTGTCTGTGACGTATTCTTCACGGGACTAGTGCCGGTCAGTCGATCATAAGTATTTCTATTGGATGATGCACCGCCTGTCACATCTGCACCGCGTTGAGTTGTCTGTCGCGTAAAGTTTGTGCCGCTACTGTCCTCCAAATTTTGCAGGCCTAAAAGGTTTCTCTGATTGGAGATAATTTGATTGGGATTACGAGATGACAAATGGTAACTGCCATCTTTGCAGATAACCTTTAATGACTCAGACGTAATTAGTCCACCCGAAGACATCGTGGTCGTCGCCGTAGTCATTGTTGTGGCTGTGATCACCCCCGCGCTTGCGGGCGAGGAGGGTGACTTTTTCGGTGATTGATTGTTCTGTTGATTACTTGCGCGACGTATGTGCGTTATCGTTCTCACCGGACTTGACGATTCGGTAGCAGCAATGTCGAGTTGGACTACTGAGATGTTGTTGGTAGCCATAGTCGTCGGTGATGCGGCATCCAATGGCTGATTGCCCTCCTCGCCGATGGTATCGGGCGTCCCAAGATTTGATGATGATCTGAGTGGTGGTGTCTGGCCCGCTGGACTCATGCCGACACCGCTGTCGTGGCCGCCTGTTGAAGACGGGGTACCTGGCAGCTGTATACTGCTGTTGCCACCGCCACTACTGCTTTGGTTGCTTGCCACGCTTGGGGTGCGCGTCGGCCGCGGAGGCGTGCTGCCACTGACGCTAATGACCGTCGATGTGCTCGTGGCGGAACTCGGGCTCTGCGGCACACTATTTCTGGAGAACTGGACAACATTCACTGTGGAACGCTGCCGCGGCGGTACCATCATATCCAATGAGTTCAGACCAGGCACATTTTTGGCCAATATGTCGGAATCCCTAACGGCCTTATCGAGAATACCATATTTGTTCTTACTAAAGTTGGATTTAACGAAATGACGATTGTCGCGACATCCGTCGACTATCACGGGGCAACTCTTTTCATTGGCGTTATTCTTGCCATTTGCGGCACGCTGATTTTTTTTCTTCTGATACGTTATTACACCCTTGTTATTTGAGGAGAACGGCATTGTCTTCTGTATGTTGATCAACTCGCTGGTAATGTCACCACTACTCAACCGCTGCTGAGGTTTTTTACCACGGCTCGCCAATTTAAGATCTGCCTCGTCCGCGCGTGTCAGCACAATCTTTGGATTTAGATTTAGCGTACTCAACAAGGGCGCAAATTTTGTAATGTTGTTGGTTGCTTGTTGCTCGGCATCTGTCCGGTTGCCGTTGTTAGTATCTTTGTTCTTATTTAACAGATTCTTCTGCAGAATCTGCGAGATCCTCGTTGGTTTTTTCGAGCTTTGCGGCCTGAACATCCTAAGAGTTTTGAGCACTGCTGGATCGCTTCGCCTTTCAGTAATAATGAATGGTGCCGCGGCAGTATACGCTGATCCTTTGATCGTCTCACGTTTGTTTTCGTCCATGTCGGCTGAAAAAAGAGTGATGATGTCATTGCTGCTAACGTCAGAGCCACTGGCATCCTCATGTGTATTCGAATGTCGCACTTCGTCATTTACTAACATATGAAAATGTGAGACAGAGTCGACGCTGAGCTTCGATGGCTTCGAACGTTTCTTACTGGGCTCCTTGCTGCTAGATTTGTTGGATTTCTTTTTGTTTTCTAACCGACAACCATCGCTACCCAAGCTGTCAGTCTGACTATCCTGCGTATTACTGTCGCTATCCGATACCGAGCTGATCCTATTTCTAAAATGCTTTGGTTTATGTTCAACACTGTCATATTCACTTTCGGATGATTCCAATTGGATCTTCCGCGCTCGTGCGGTACGTCGTGGTACTCGCAACACACTACCACTGTCGGAGTCCGTGGTAGTATCATCTAAACTACGACGCACCGACGAACGTTTATAGCCTGCCGCCGGCTGAAAGCTACCGAATTGCTCGGAACTATCGGACGGTAGGTCAACCCACTGCTCATAGCCTTTCTCAATGCCGAAAAAGACATCCTTAGTATCGTCTTCCGATGGCCAATCCTTAAACTGCGAGTAATCAATGTTCAGATATTTAAGCTCCTTGTTTGTATTACGCATTTCTTCAGCGTTCTCCAGATATCGCTCGCATAAATTCTTCAACTCCTTCCAATCCAGCACCCAGCTGAGCATATGGTAACGCGGACTACTCAATACTACAGCTAGATCGTCGCATAGTTGCGGTGACAAACCCAATTTTTTACCGTCTAGAATTTGACAGGGCACAGACTTTTCATCGTAATTTGCCGAGCCTGTTACCGCGTCGCCCTTGATCAGGATCAACGCGTCTAACGTTCTCTCTACGTTGTCTGATATCGTACTCGTTTCGCCTAATTGTGATTTATCGTCGTTCAGTTGGTTACTGCCGGAAAATTCGTCACAATTGAAGCAGAGCTCGCCCAGCATTTCGGATGAAGATTCACGCTTCAAATGTAATGGACACTTGCTACTAGTTGATGTTGTTGGTATTGTCATGTCAGGCGATCTCATGTCGGGAGTCTTTGTCGTCAACAGACTCTTTAACAACTGATCAGTCCGTTCAAATGTTTTCGTTACGTGATCGTTTTGAAAATCTACGCCTTTTGCGACGGTCAAATTTTGATGCAATGACTGCACTTCCGAAACTGCCGAACTTAGCGAAGGTATTAAGGATGTTTCCGTGACATTATCATTTTCTATTAACTCGGATTTTATTTCAACTTCAATGGCTGATATAGGAAGATGATCGTCTTCTATAATTTCCTTGGGTTCCTTCTTGATTTTAATCTCCTGCAAACCGCCATCTTCCTTCACCTTTCCACACGCCACCGCCAATTCCTTTATTCTGTCGTAACAGGTTCTGGTAGGATGTAAGGAGAATGCCGTCAAAACGCATTCTCTTGCGATGCCAATACTGCTGTCTACTACGTCCGCCAATTTAAGGAATTGCGTACTCAGACGCTTGGCGGTCTCCCGCACCTTGTCCTTGTCCGACTTCGCCTTCTGATTCTCCAGTTCGTTCATATCTGTTGTTAACGCTCTGATGTATAGTTCGATCACCAATGGTTTTATACTATCGCCAAACTGCAATTAAAAAGAAATCCAAGAAAAATAATATTCATTTTTAATTGAAAAAGAATTATTTAATTTTTCCTCTGAACATACAATAAAATAAAATCTGATTTTTCTGGCATTTTATTAACTTTTAATATATTTAACTTTTATTGGTAATTCTATTCGCACACAATACAATTTTGTACTAATATCTCTAGCAAAATATATAAATATTTTTTAATAATTTTCAAATATTAAATTTTTCAAATTAAATCTTTACTTACATGTTTTGCAAGTACTGCACAGAAGATATAAATATGTTGAGCACTTTCTGCGGGTTCAATTAATTTTCTGATCATGCCAGGCAAAGTCAATGCAACGTCCTTCAATTTTGCGTGCAATAGTGCCCAAGAGTTCAAAATCTGCTCCAAAATATTTGCACCGGTTTCCGATACCGGTCGAACCATCCCGGCAGTAACGAGATACTGCGCGACCAATTCCGCGGCCTTTATCGAATTTCTCCAAACACGCGCCGTTCCATACTTCGTTGGCTTCTCACCGCTAAGCCTTTGGACCAATTCAAGCCCGTCGTTGAGGTCCATTAATTTTAACTGTAACAAAGTGCAGTTATGAATTCCAGCACGGCAATATTCGCACAGAACGCAAAACACGCCTTTCTTCAAAGAAACGAATCGACCTTCTAAACTCATTTACTATAATTCTACTACTTTCCCACGATTCCAATCGTTTGAAAGATATATTTTTAAATTTTCTTGAGTACATCTTCATACTTTGCAGATCTTGGCAAATTAAGCAAATAGGTCAATGTGATTCATGGCATAGCCATCTGACATTTTCGATGATGCTTTCTTGAAGCATTAGATGTGTCATAATTTTACTTCTCCGAACTAGATAAATTGGTTTAACCCGGGAATAGTTCATTTTTGCGTAAACAACTACCTGATTGTGCATTAAACTGTACTAAACTAAATATTGTATATATATTGATTGTTCTATAATTTATTATTTAAAATAATTATATAGATATATTATAAATTTACTCCATTATTTTCTTAAAACAGTAGAAAAAAAAAAGATATTCTCAATCAATAAAAAAATTATTATGGTTGAGCTTCATTTACTCGTCAAAAAATCACCTCAAATAAGTATTCTCGGATTAAGGATATCGCTTGAAATTTGGAGATCTATATATTTTTGTACTTTAGCAACTTCTAACAATTAAAATTGAATGAACATCCCTTGCAATAATTTGACATTTTTTAATGACACTTACTTGAGCGAAAATATCTTGCGTGCGTTTCAATTTGTACAAGAGGACGATGTACACGTCGATCATGTAGTGGACATGATGAGACTCCGAGAGTGACCGCAGCTGATCGCTTCGTCTGAGGGAGCGCACGCACGCGGCGGCGAGGTTCACCGCTATGTCCTCGCAGCGGTCCTCGCAGAGTATCTTCAGTCTCATCGTCAGCAGCTCGCCATCCTCCGAACAGCAGAATTCTGAAAGCACGTTTTCCTGTGGTTACCAACAACACCGCAACTATTTATAGGATGCGAGAAAACTATATACTATCGTTGATGAAATCATTTGCTAATTAAATTTAATTATTAAAGAAGAATTATTATTTAGGCACCACCGACTACTTTCGGATGTAATTAAAGTAAAATCAAAAGCGCCAATTCGATCACAATTAAAATAAAATTATGAAATAAACATTATAAATGTATGCAGAAAACAAAAATTTCTCGAATAATATTGGTACCAATGATAATGATATAAATGGCACTTATAGTTTTCTTTATGAATTCGATATACAGCAATTTAAAGATAGCTGAACAAAGTTAAGAAATCGAACAGACACAGTTGAACAAATAAAATAATCTTGCCAGTGATTGCACTCAAGAATAATTAAGAATCTAATACATGAAAGATATATTATTATCGTATATTTGTATATGTATCTATCAATGTGTAAATTTGTCTTTAAAATAAATGTAGAATCTCCGGAAGATTGCTTAATTTTGTATGTAATTTTGAGTTTTCAGTTACATATATTTTTAGAAAAACAAATAAAACTTTATTCTATCTACAATTAATACTAAAAAGGATATGCATACAAAATAGAGAACAATTATCATTCCTAATTTTTATATTTAATTAAATTAAAATTCCATAAACCTCCATATTAACCAGTAGGTAACGTAATTAAACTGGCATTACTAAAGCACAGTATAATAAGTCCTACGTACTATAAACATAATAATATTTTCCAACTGTTAATAAAAAAAAGTATTAAAATGATTCAAAATAGATTCTATCAATTTTATTAATATAATTTGAATATAATTTAAAGATCGAAAATTTAAAATATTTTAAAAAGTTCATGTTACCACACAACTTAAGATTAATTCTTAGATTAACTGTGGTTTTTAATAAACTCCACCTTAATAATCGTGCTACATTTCATTTCTACTTTAGTAATGCCGAGTTAAGTTAAGGGTTAGACAGGTGCGCGCAAATATACTTGTTCAAACCTACTTTTCCAAGATTGGGCACACGATATTATAAGATACGTGATCTTTTTATTCATATTTAAAACAGGATTAAAACGATTATATATCGAAATGGTGATAATTCGTCTTTTCTTACCCTCCTCATGTTCGGAATCCGGTTGGCCGTTAAATATGCTGTCGAGGCCGGGATGCGTCCATGGATTGTTCGCCAAAGCCCGCAAAGTGGTACATCTGGATGCAGCGGGATGTTGCACCAGTTGAGTTATACACCTCGCCAGCAGTACGTCGAGGTGTGTTTTGGAGGCTGGTGACAATTTTGGCCACTCCCCGCGCAATACAATTGTCAATGTATGTCTGCACAAAGAAGGACAATAGCATGAGTGAGTCGCAATATGAAAAAACGGGCAGTAGAACATATTTGCGCGGACTTGTTTTCGTATTTGTCTTTCCAACATTTTGCGCCCTACATCGATGGTGCCTATCGCGAAACTGAATGTTAAAATAAGAAGAGAAAAGAAAAAGAGGTATCTGCATTTTGGAAGATCAGAATTCCTGTATAGAGTTTAAGGAATGTAAGACAAATGCTGCAATATGTTAAGAATTACTTAAAAAAATTAGATTATTCTAAATTGCATTTAAAAGTAATACAAAAAAATTAGAATCAAAAGTTATTTCAATAAAAAGTAATATTTTTTAAATTTGGACTCTAATAGAAATATATGAAAATGTATTATAAAATAATGACAAAAATCTCAATTTTTTAATATAAGTATTTTATAAATTAAAAAACATTTTTATAACATTACATTAACATGCAGACATTTTAATTGTTCAGTAAATAAATAAAATATTTATTTGTAAACTAATTGGTGAATTTCAATGAAACTTTGCATAAGTCATTTTAATATTTAAATGACTTATTTATGTAAAAAAAAAAAAGATTTTTACTCTTTTTAAAATTTTTATTTATAATAATAAAACTAATATCAAATAAAATAAATAATCTATAAAAATGTGTTGCTCAATAAAAATGTTACATGTGTTTAATGCCCTTGGACCTCCCCTAAACAAATTAGTAACTTTTTTTTCTCTTTTAATTCATTTTTAAACCAATAATATTTAATATGTTATATAATTAGATTTATATTTTAAGAAAGAGTATGTTGGATGAAAAGGAGAGTTAATTTAGATCCTGTTAGTTCGCGATAATTTGTTGCTCCATCTTAGCATTAGCGATCATAAAATCATGATCAAAAAACTCATTGGAAATAAAATTAGATTAAAAGTTCGGCTTCTTGATTACTTATTCACATCTAATTCACCCCCAAGATTTAATTCATCCACTAGCAACAATGCCGAACGGCTCGCTAATCAGACCTCCGAAAACTGGAAACTTCACGAAGAATAATGTTCTCGCGTATCCCTTTTGGACCATCCTGTACCCGTAGGGTGCCTCGGTTGTATACCCGTCACGTTAACGTGAATTTGCGTCGCATTGCTATTCAAAATTCCGGGATCGTTTGTATGACGGTGCTACATACGTGCAGATTCATTACTCAGTACAGTCTGTTTCTCTCTCCACTTCTCTATCTCTCTCACGCTTTTTCTCTCTCCCATCACGTTCATCTGCCGTAGAACGACTCTGTTACATCGAAACTCGTTTCACTACCTTTGTGTCGAAAAAGCTCCGGCCGGTAATATAAAAAAAGTCGACTGTGTACATGCTGTGCGTTAAATGGGTCAAATACGGACAGAGAGATCTCATAATGCAATAATAATGAACATAATTAAATGATATAAATATAACTTGGTCCTGACGTTATACATTCAATTATTTAAATACTTAAATAAGATAATGATACAGTAATGTAAACTAAAAGGATATTTAAAAAATTCTCACTCACTCTGAATTCATTATTTCTAAAAGAAGCGTTTAAAAAATTACACGCGATAAAAAAGTCGTGTATTTCCAGCTTACAAAAATACAAAAATAGACTATTGGTTTATTGAGTGTGTTTAACACTTGTTATCCTTTTTCTAATTAAAATACAAACTTTTGTTCAACTATTGCGTTATTGAAAATTAAAAATCACAAAGTAGTAACGTGACATTTTTTTTAACGATTTAATTTGATCATAATTACAATACATTCATAATATCGATGGTCCGACGTACAAAAATAGACTACCGATGCTTTAGACTTTAGACTATTCAAATGAATTCGACTTACCATCTTTCAAGAATGTAGATCATTATTATGATACGTCTTTAATATCGGTATCTTTACAAAAATAGACTACTGGTGTTGTTGAAAATAAGTTCGACTTATCACCTTTTTCCAATTAAAATATAAACATTTGCATAATATCATTTCACGTACAAAAAATTTCATATTGAAAAAAAGTCACAATATAGAGATCACACGGTGTCTACCTTTTTTCAACATTGTTGCGACAATGAATAAGTTATGCAACGGTGTATCCTCTCGCCCGTAGGTACGTGTCTTTGCGAAACGAGTTCCCCGTTAATCGAGGGTCATATAATCTTGGATGCAACAACAACGATCGACGGACGACGTGTACCCACCTGTGAGCCCATTCTATGAGAGACTGGATGGCCTCGGGCGGTGCCACAGAAATATAATTGCCGACATGCTCCCAGGCTGCCAGAAGCGCATTCGCCTTGTCGACGTACTTCTTTTTGCTGTCACTCAGCGTCGCCTCGAACCCCTGCGAAGCGAAGAAATCGTTGGCTCGATTAAGAGGAACAGGAAAATCGCAGAACGAAGGGTTGCTGAGGAACAGTAATCGTCACCGTCAGCATCAATGCGAGATACGACGATTCACCCTGATGAATAGCACCGCGTTTTTCGTATTGTACTGAACCCTTCGATATACTCTAATTGTCTTGTTCAGTTAAAGGTACATATATTCCCTACTTCATCTAATTACAAATCGTATTAATTTATCTGCAGATATTTGCTATTTGCGTTGACGGTAAACAACCAATATTACCTTACCTTAAGTAACTCTAATTAATTAACTCAATGTATTTGTCTGTTTCTATATCTTATGTATCTTTCAGCTTCCTATACCCATTTTCGCTTTCAGTCCGTCTATCTATCTTTCATTTCCACCCACACACATTTCCGCACATTTAATAAATTAGATTTGTAGAATTAAATATAAAATATACACTTTTGCCCCTTTAGAGATTTGTATTTGTTTTCAAAAAATGAAAATATCGAAATACATTAAGTACATTAATATTACATATTGCAGTACTAATGTTATTAATTTGAGATTAAAGGCAATATTTATATTTAACGTTGAGTTCTGAAATAAAATTAAAAAGCAGACTATGTCCATAATTAATTGACATTAATAAATCGATTCATCAATCGTATTGAGGGATTAAGAAGTGCAAGAGAAAATATAAAGAAATATAAATCCAGAAAAGATAGACACGTGGAAAAGATCATCGATAAAGAAAGAAACTCAAAGTTTTTACTCGCAAAGAAAGAACAAAATACTGAAAGCCATGACCTGATAAACGTTCCTTGAAGAACAATATTTTTATCGATACATCAGCATACTCGACAATTTTACATCGGCGATATGACATGTATTGCGTAAAAAAATACGTTATTGTCGCGTGTGGAAATAGCTTTTCGATTATGCAATTTCTTGGAACACACTGCTTTTGCGAGAAGAAGATTATCTTTATTGCAAAGTAATATAAGTTTGAAACTAAAATGCATAGCTACATAATAAAAATTTATAGATATTAAAGCGACACAAAAAAAAAAGAAAAGAGAGAGAAGAAAGAAGAATTTTAATAAATCTGAATTCTGCGATAGAACAATTATTATAAAAATTATCTAAAAGAAGAATTCGATTCTCAGAAATACAGAATTAAGCTTCTTCAATACTTGAATAGCAGAAGGGTTGTAAAGGAGCTTAACTATGCCATACGTTCCCAAGAACGTTCTGTAAGAACCGACAACCTCGGTTTCGAGAATCGAAAGGAGTTTCCATTTTGAATGGGTTAAAAGCGACCCTACTGCATCTGTGCGCTTGTTTCTTTCAGTAGAAAGCGCGACCGCACATAACAAGCGTAATGACATTTATCCAGGGGACTTTGAAGCGACGTTCCCTTGGCAAACAATGTTTACCAAGGACCACATAGTTCCGCGGAGGATTGATAACGTGGTTAAAGTTGTGGGGTTATTCGGGAATCGTATTATTCAAAGCAATTACCTGCGCGCGCTAAGGTTCGTGCAAGACGAAAAAAGGCGAACTGAGTCACAAAATAAAACTCATTTCCCTCATCGAGGACATGGTGGAAGTACTTCCACCGCATCGAGGATTTTACATGAGAATCGATTCGTCACATATTTCCCTCCGGAATTTTCCGCTGATCACAGAAAGAAAAAGCCACTTCCTTCATTACAAACATTTATCGCAACAAATAATTATATTGTATATAATAATAAAAATAGCGTAATAAAATATAATAAGAAATTCTTTCACTATTATTCGTTCAATAAATATATTGTATAAAATTTAATATTTAATATTTTACGAAAATTAAAATATTCGTAAAAGCTTCGTTAATTTCAATTATAATTTTATCATGTTAATAAATAATGCTACAGAAGATTTCAAGCATCATTATTGAGACGATTATTTTATAGATTATGAAGATATTTTGGGGCTGCAATATTCTCTATACTTTCGCAGGATAAAAACTTCGATATACCCACACTCAAAAAAGTGATCTTGCAGTTATTAGCGAAAATTATCTAAGTACGAAAAATAGCTAAAACAGACAATAGATAAATTTTTAACAAGTACTGCGATATTGGATATGTGTTGCACCTAATCATAGATAACAGAGATAGAATTTAAATTTGTATTATAAATTTCTATGCGTACAATGAAAGAAAAGATTAGCTGCTACAGCAAATTAGTTGATAAAATATGGCATAGCATTTTTAATTGATTGCTGCAATCAATTAAAAATGCTATACCATATTCAGCTAATCTTTTCTTTCAGTGTGATACATCTATAATTCTAGCTGGAGCAGCAAAATATTGTTTTGCGTGTACAGCGTGAAACGCTTCAAAAAGACAATTTGCGTCAATTCAATGCACTACCGTAAACATGTTAGATCGGATGGGATTCCGCATAAAACCTCAAATATACCTGGAGATTGGAACGAATTTGACATAGCATTGGCAAATTCGTCGAGTAAATGTCATCTCTTGATTTCCATTGGTTCTTTTTGTTAATCACAGTTTGATGCATCTCGATTCACTAACGTTTCGTCGTGTACAGGATATGCACAAAAAAGCGCAACACACGCTTTTTAGAAATATATTTTGACTGCCACTAAAAATTAAAGAAAAAGACGAAAAACGTTAACGATCTAAAAAACGTTTCCATTTTGATAAAATTCTCGCACAGTTTATGACCTTTCGTGGTCACACTGAGAGAAAAATGTCGAAATATTGCGAAGCAAATGTTACTTACGAAATTTGATTTTAATGAGGAAATATACATTTCTGTGAAATATATTTTATTTTTGTAAAATATATCTCATTAATTGCAAAAAAATAAAATTAATGGTTTACTTGCTAGGAATAAAATTTTATTTCTCGCCCAAACTTAAATAAATATTTATTTCAGTCAAATAAATAAATTTATTACAAATACATTTTTAAGCATTTTTTTCTCAGTGCAGATTTGTAAAAATAATAAACAATATTTAACTAAAAATAAATGAATAAACTGACTATAAACTGTAAATAATACCGACGATAGCAATAATAACGATGATTTGGCAGAATTCCTCTTGCTTTGTCAATTATTAACTAAAAGATATCGAGACTTATGTTACTCTCGCACACTCGTAACGTTACCATCACGAACATGGAAAACGTTTTTCCTTTGTTCGCAAACATTTCTCTTCACATATTTGAAAGGAGTATTTCCTCCGACAAGAGACGGAGAAAATATGGAAGTTCTTATCTATCTCGGCAAAGTCTTTATGTCACATAATATTATTCTGTTTGCTATCTTCTGGCATATTTCGTTCGTGCGCATTCATCGTGTCAAAAGATAAAGATTGCCAAAATACATTTGCAATAACGATATCAAAGATGAGAATTGAAGAATTCGATGTAACGAAGGATTCAGTGTAATAGATGTACTGTTAAATCCATAAACGTCAAATTATATTCAATTTGACTTCTTTTTAATCATTTAATAGGTCGCTCTTATTTAATATGTCGTTAATTTAACTAAAACAACGGAGTTAAATAATTTCGTTGTTCAAATATTATATTTGATTCAAATTTAGTTTATTATTATTAAGTTTATTATTATTAAGCATACGTTAATATATGAACGTTGTTTACTTTGAAACTAACTACAGAAAAGGAATAATTTACATTTTAATACATTTTGATATGGAAATTAAAAGTAACAAAATAAATTCAACTCAAAGGAGTTGCTATTATTCTTTTAATAATATCTAACAATGAACCGTTCGAGTCTTCAGAGCATAAAAATTCAAGCTAAATTAATTTCAAACTCGACTATATTATTGAGAGAGATTGATTTAAGATTTATCAATGTTCCATTTTGTAATTCGTGTTAATAAGACGCACCTTTACCGCCAAAAAATATTCTTGTCCCTTGGAGCTCGTGAACGAACCACTATGCGCCGCTGGAACCACCGACGATTGAAGCTGTAAAAATAAAACGGTGATAATATTAGAAAATATTCAGAAATGTTGGCAGTATCGTACTTTCTTACGCTAAAATTAAACTTCAAGCGTTTTAGACCTAACACCGGATGCGGCACTAAACGAATACAAATTAGCATTCGCGAAAGTATCGCTTTCAGGAAGGGATAGGTATTTTTAAACTTAGTTGCAGTGTGACTCGTCCTAGAATCGTTTCGCGTGCAATGTAATCGGTCACGTTCGCTCGCGTATTACACGAACGATATCAGAGAGCTAGCTGGCATTTAATGTTGCGAACGCGTTGCGAATGCAATTTCGCAGTGCAAAATCGGGGGAGGGAAAAAACCGGGAAGGGAAAGATGTCATTCTCGCAGTGCGCACGCCGAGAGACGTTTCCCGCGAGGAATTACCAGCGACGGCATTCCCGGCCGACGCGACGTATCCAAGAACATACTCGACACGTCGCCCACAAATTTCCCGCGAATGCGCCCGATGTATCGTGCATTCGGAATACCGAGGGGTGTGCGGCGAGATTCTCGGAGGGGTGCGACGTGGGAGAGCCGCGATCGGCGAAAAACCGCAAGAGACGTGGGGATAAACACAGCGCGAGACACGACGGCGCTCCTTTAACCCGCCTACGCGCGGATCTCCGACATAAAGAGAGGGAAGAATCCGGAGCGTTTCATCATAATGGATCACGAGACTCGTCCATATCTCAATGTGCGGTATAAAACTATAGAAGAAATTCAATTCTGCGATTTTAATAAATAGAAATGTTACACTGGAAAAACAAAAGATGGCCGCTGCAGCAAATTAGATGGTAAAATATGACATAGCATATTGAAATCTTGTACTAACATCGCAAATAGGCTAACGCAATCAAAAATTGGCTGCTGCAATCAAAAATTGACTGCTGCAACCAATTAAAAATGCTATGCCATATTTTACCATCTAATTTGCTGCAACAGCCAATTTTTTTTTTTCAGTGTACGGATAAAATAAATTTGTTATTAAATTAATCAGTGCATTTTTTTTTTTTTTTTAGAATGAAAAATATTTAGGATGAGCAGAAATGTAAATGTATTTTCGTAGGATAAAACGGTCGAAAATTTTTTTAATTTGAAAGCGCTCGCTCTCGCGTTTCATGTGTGATTTTCTAATTATTATACATAGCGCCTTCATGGAAATAACGTGCGAATTCGATATACCTGTGCAACAAGTTTTCGTAAATCTTTAAAGGCTGCGAGCACGCGAGATTATTATAGCAAAACGCTGCGGCGTGATGTCCTACCTGTGCAATACGGCAACGGCTACGTCACAAATCAATTGTAATGTTGGCTTTTATTATGAAATACGGGTCAATAAGTTCTCCCGAGGCAATTTCCTTCTGTGTGCTCGCACGTGTGTGAGCCATACGACCGCAACATTTATCCTGCGCTGAATGTAATCAGTGCGGAACGTCACAGTTGCAGTTTCGACGCTTTTTTCGTTTCCCTTTTTATATCGAACACTTCGTCAAACGGTCTAATATAACGGATATATACACTGAAATAAAAGTGTTTGCTATTTATGACTATAATTGTATGATAAAGTAGTTATGATTAGAAGCTCCATTTTTATTATTGCTACATGTTAGTGATAATAACTATACATGTAACATAGCAATAATAAAAATGGAGCTTCTAATCATAACTATATACTTCATCATGCAATTATATAGTCACAAATATCAATTCTCTTAAACATGAAAAAAGTATTTACTGTAAATTATGATAATTTCAAATATAATCGCAATATTATATAGTAAATATAATTTTTTTATAATTAATTTATTTTTTATAGTATATAATAATAAAAAAAGATATATTAAGAAAAATTAAAAATTCTCAAACAATGTACATGATTATCATTAAGCCTAATATTATATTTGCATATTAAAACAACTATAAATATATAGTTGTCTAAAAAAAAACAGCTTTTATTTTTAGTTAAATCATAGTAGTTATATCTATTTTTCCTCTCAGTATAGTATATCAAATATATAGCGATATAATATTGTTCAAATTATTTAACTTTACCGTGAAAATAAATTTAAAAAAAAAACT